CCCCACTCGTCAGTAATCTTCGTGGGGCGGTCGTCATCGGTGGGGGTGTCGCCGGAGGGAGAGGCGCGTAGGCGGAGGGGGGGGAGTTTGGGATTAGGGTTTGGGGAGAAGAGAGAGAAAGATTGGAACTTTGGGGTTGGAAATGAGGATGGGGAATTGAGGAGGTTTTTGGAGAGGACAGGGGAGGAGGAGTGTGAGGTGAAGATGAGATTCAGAGCCATTTCTTTTCCCTTTCTTTTTCTTTCCAGTGCTTTTTGTTTTGCTATTTGGTCGTCATCTGCTATTTAGAGGTTACAAATTTACAAAGAAATGTTGTTGGATTGTATCCACTACCTTTTTTATTTTTTATTTTTTTTATTTTTTTTAACAATCGATATTATCTACATTAAGGATCTTAGGTCATTTGAAGTAAGTGACTTGTAGTTCAATTAATTAAGGGCCTTAATTCTTATGCACGATGTCTTATCTTTGAATCTTCTTTCGTAGTTTAAGTGAAGTAGTGTATTTTATTATGTCGTTTATATAAAAGCAACATTGTGTGCCTGCATTGTTTGACAATCATCTTTCCATATTGGCCTCCAAGAAAGTGGCATTAGGGTAATATCAAGATTGAATTCTAACAAGTCTTTAAATCTTCCTATTCTCACGAATTTGTTTCATTATAATTTTGGTTAGAGAACATCATTTTCATTGGTGTTTATTACAAAAAGTGGGCACTGACATTGATAGCAAACCTCAATTACCACCATGCAGCTACTAAAAAGGAGTACATGTCCTTTATGTAGAAGTCTCTAGTAACAACCATTAATAACCATTTGTCCTAATGCAAGACTAAATTAATGACATGTGAAATTCACATGCTAATGAAATGAAATTTATCTTTTCAATAACCAAGACTTAACCTTGCAATAGACTTGATAGCAGGGTCGGTTTGGAGAATTTTGAGGTCCGGTGCGAAGTTAAAAAATGTGCCCTAAATTCATATAAGAAAATTATTTATTTTTACACATAAGACATTGATCAAATTATACTTAGACAAGCAGTTCAAACTCAATAATTTAGAAACACAGAAAGACTAATTTATTTTGTATCCAGAGAAGGAAACCAAAAAACTTCAGACTTACATGTAGATAGACGATGAGTTTTGTTATCCATATGAACTTTTAAAGTGTTTTAGTATAAATTGTGAGGTGTTTTTTCTTATTTACTAACCTTGTCAAAATGAGACTAAAAAAATAATGATATTTTCGAGTCTTTAATTAATATGTATAAGTAATGAATGCGCACTAAATTAAACATTTTGATGACACGTCATATGATTTGCAAATTTGTTCTAAAAATTTGGTCTACATATTACTCTTTGTAGAAGATTAGACTTGAATTCAAACAAATATTTAAAAATAGCAACCCACTTGCTACTAGCTAGTAACTAAAAATAAATTAACAACCAAACAAATATTCATAAAAATTGAAAAGAATAAACACGCATATAGCATTTCGAACTTAAGAAATCTCGTTAATTTTAAACAATAAAAACCATTACTTCTAATTAAACTTCTTGATCATTTAACCAAATTTTATAAATTTATACTCTTATGAAAAGAAATTTCTAAAAATTGAAAGTAAATAAGCACAGGTGGTGTTTTAAACCCTAAACCTCTTCATTATTTTCAAATGACAAAATCAACACTTTGAGTTAAATTTCTTTGTCATCAAATCAAATTTTATAAATTTATACTCTTATGAAAACATATATAAATACAACATCCTAATAATTTTGATGCCCTGAATTTTTTTGGATCCTAAATGGTCGTCCTGCCCCTACTGGGCCTGGGCCGGCCCTGCTTGACAGCCCGAGGCATAAAAGATCTTCAAAGATCTTCGGCCTATATTATACAAATGTAAGTTTGTGTGTGCCCGCGTGATATGAGGATTGAGCCAACAATATCTAAACCTACAGTATTTGGCTGCCAAAACTGAAGAGCAACCAACTGCTATTGATCGGTTTGAGGTTGTGCGCGAAAACACAAAAGATTGCTGGGATGAAGATGCAAAAGTATAGTGGGTAAGTTAGTTATTTACGTTGTCTCCTCTATAAGATATAGTTTTTTACTGAAAATTATTATCTTTTTTTCCCAAAGATCCCTCACTCTCGCCTTGCATAATGAATTTGAAACTGTCAAACATGGTATATATACACGCATTCCCCTTCCGTTGAGGTATCCTTCAAATAATTTTATTTGAGGGACACTTTGTGGTGCTCATTCCGTAACTTTTTCAGCGTGTCTATATTTGTTTGAATGTGATGTATGTGACCGTATGTTTGTCATCTGTTTGCCAAAATGTCCCGCTAGCATGTTTCAAAATTGAACTAGGCTTTGAATGTTTGATTAATATTCTCACTTGCAGATGGTAAAAAAGAAGCTCCCAACCGCTCTTTAACTGCTCAAGAGGTCCTAAGACAAACTTCAAATGCTAGTAAATGCAGGTACCCGGGAGGAAAGAGTTGCCGCACAAGCAGATGTTCATGCCTGCGAGCAAAGCCTCTTCGAGCTCGATGACTTCAAGATGTTTTGTTGCCTCTCGGCACTTTCCTACCAAGGGAAGCTACTCACGGTGGATTATGCGATGGATCATTACGTGAAGGGAGAGATATTCATGGTTGCTGAGGGGAGGGCTGCAAGGGCCGTCGGAGCTGCCGCCCACTGGACTGCGTAATTAGTTTGCTTTGGTTTGATGTCATTGGTTTGCTTCCAAACAACATTTCTCTCTTAATTTCTTCATTCTTATACACATGTATGTTTATAAATGTTTGAGCATGTATGTATCATGTATATATGCATGCATTTATGTATGAATTGGCTTGGAATTCCTTTATCTAGTTGATATACTTTTTGGCTTCACATTCTATTTTGGCTTGGTTGAATTTGAAAGCATTATATTGTGCTTCAGTGTTATATTTCACTTGTAAAATTTCGAGGTTTCTTGAGGCCTGCTGTTTAGACTAGTATTACTAGTGTTACAGTTTGGCTCGTTTACTTCAGTTCAGAACGTTGGCCTCCACATAGATTTGATAGAGATGAAGAAGGATAAGAAAGAAGATCACCTAGCAGCATGACAGATATGAACCATATGGTGGATAAGAATTAGACCATCTGCCTTTGGAGAAGAAGAATACTACTTTGGATACTCCAACGATGGCTACTTTTTTTAATTCATCGATATCTTTACACAAAGGGGTGAGGGAAATAAATTGGTTATGAACACGCCATAAATTTGTCGGAAGAGATGAGGTGATAGCTATAAGGAATGAAACAACGCTTCTAAATAGGACTAGGACAATGACATGTATATGATAAAATTTTGTTCAGAAGTTCTTGGCACAAGTTAGGGCGCATCAAGGGATGTGGTTATGGTTCCCAATCATTAAAATCTAACTCTTCGGCGAATTTGTGCCCCAGTTGAACAAACAATTAGAAGAACATTATAAAGTTGATTGTTGAGACTCAAAAAGAAGAGCTTGGTGCACAAATTATCCAAGAGTTGAAGGAGAAGCAAAAGGATTAAGGAACTCTTGCACAAAATTATGCTAATGCAGAAACCATTCCATATTTATTCTTTTTATTTTAGTGAACTTAAAGTACTTCCTTTCATTCTTGTAGTGGCAATGAATTCCATAAAACATTAAAATAAAAATAAACTAGTTACAGTAAGAAATTGAATAGGCAATAGGTTGCTTATGAGAATATGAAGAGTATTTCCTCTACTGTGGGAAATTTTACAGGTCACTTAATGGCGACACAAAAAATAAAAACAATAGAAAATCACTGCTATTTGGAGTGAGGAAACGAGTGTCTCGTTGATGGTAAGTTTGCAGCCAAAAAATTTGTTCTTGCAATATGTGATCTTTATCAATAAATAATAAGTTACACCTTTCGCTGCCACAAGGATTTGGCGACCACATTCCTACCATTTTGACCACTAATGCAAAAGCGCGAGAAGAAGCTTCGTTCTCGTTGTATCATTTCAGCGGATAAACTAAAATTTCTTGTTGTATACCTTTCACTAGGGGCGTATTATGACGACCTAGCGAAGAAGTTAATTTCCTCATTGAAAGTCAAGGGCTATGAAAAGAAAACTTTAGCGAGGAATTTGTTTCTCGCTAAATATATAGTTGTTTGTTGCAGTGATTATCGTATAAAGAATTAGAGTATCTTTAATGCAAAAATACAATTTTGAGATGTAAAACTCACTATGATATCTCATTTTACATGTTCGAAGCAATCTTAAATAGTAATTCTACTTCAATACAGAAATACAAGTTTAAAACCTCAAGTTGAATAATACGGACCATCTCGTCCGACCCCCAACCGTGTTGAGGATACCGCCATGAGCAGTGGAAGTGGGAACTCACATTCAGATAAACGGACGGCCAAGATCCTTTGACCCCGTTCTCATTAGTTACAACCCTAGTTTTTTTTTTTTTAACAAACGATATTATCTGGGAAGGAGATGGACTTGAACTCATTATAGGTTAGTAATAATGTGGTTCAAATTCGTTGAATTGAACCTAAGATTTTTCACTTACAAGTGAAGAAAAATACCACTAAACCGTAATACTAAATGATTGTTACAACTTTAGTTACATCTATGCCTTTCAAGTTTCAACCCCGCTATGGTCAATTTCCTTCGCTTAGGCATTTCCACTCCCCACTGACTTTAATTTCCCTAGTTATAGCAGAAGCAATCACCGCACGCGACCGAAGCGCGAGTACAGTCCCCAAATCATATAACAGAAGTTGCGTGAGTACACGCGTCCTTAATTGGCTTGGGGGTCTTAGTAACAAAGAAAGGGGTTTGACTTGGGGATGAGACTTGTCTGGGAGAAACGCTTGCTCTTCCATCGAGAAACGGACACGTGTACCGAAACGGCCGACGACGAATTAAGTGGCGTTGATCGGTTTCTGTCGAAACGCATTTACCACGCACAGTAAATTAATAAATTTGCAGATTTGTGGGGATGGAAAGAAACGGTGTAAAAATGCTAAACCTAGAGAATTAGAGAAAGATGGAGAGAGAGAGGATGGAATACTAGCACCACTGGGTCTCTGAAACTCTGAAGCACCAGCAGATCAACCAAACCAAAACGGTGAGTCATCGTTTTGCGAACAACACCGACACTACTTCAACTTCGACTGCATGGCTCTCTCTCTCTCACTCTCTCTCTCTCCCTCTCTCTCCCTCTCTCTCTCTCTCTTCCTCTAGTTTCTTTACTGGTAGGTATCCATTAATTTTGTAGGTGGTATGTTCATATTTAATGGTGATTTTTTTGTTCCAACTGCAGCTGCCCGGAAGTATTGTTTGTTACTTGAAATGGTTTTGTTAATTACTTGGTGGATAGAAATATCTCACCTCATTTTTGACAAATTTTTCAACCTTGAGTACTTCTAATTTCAGCATTTTTAATGTCTCCTTTATAATGTTTTGGAGCTATCAAAAAATAGAAAGGAAAAGAAAAGATGTTATTTCCTCTGGGTTTAAGTACTCTTCTTGTTTAAGTAATGTTCAATAAATTTACTTGACAGATAATTGTGATTTTTGCTTTGTTATACATATATATATATATATATATGTATGTATAAATGTTTCTGATCTTGTTTTGTGATACCAAATTTGAAAGTTTCAGGCTCAAACCTGAAGTGAAGAGAGAAGAGAGGAGCAAACCCTAGCTAGCTATCTCACAAAACTTCGAGTACTAGAGAGTCCAAGAAATAATGTATGGCCACTGCCAAGTAATGTCAAGCATGGCCATGGGAGGTGGCAACGTGGTCAGCCCGGAAACCCTCTTCTCGTCGCCGATCCAGAACCCTAACTTCAACTTCATGCCTACCCATCATCAGCTGCCTTTCCAGCCTTTCTCTTCCATCCTCAGTCCTCCTGTAAGCAACCTTTCTGTTAACAATTTTGGCATTATTCAACAATCTCTTAACTAATTGTTAATTTGTAATGTTTGATCCTTTTAACTAACATTGTTGCGATGAAAAATGAAATAAACAGAAGGAAGAAAATGGGGTTCTAAAGATGATGAAAGGAAAGGAAGATCAGATGATGGAAAGCGGGTCCGGGAGCGAGCAAATTGAGGAGAAATCTGGCAACGAACAAGAAGCCGACAACCAACTGCAACCTCCCAAGAAGAAACGCTACCATCGCCACACTGCTCATCAGATCCAAGAAATGGAAAAGTACTTCTACTAGATCAATCTCTCTCTCTCTCTCTCTCTCTCTCTCTCTCTCTAACAAAATAATTAACGTGTTAATTCCTTTACATATTACAGTATGTTTAAGGAGTGTCCGCACCCAGACGACAAGCAGAGGATGAAACTGAGTCAAGAACTGGGGCTGAAGCCGCGTCAGGTCAAGTTCTGGTTCCAAAACCGGCGAACCCAGATGAAGGTAACATTAACACGCTTCCCCAGAAACCGCGTTCATCGTTCTTACTGAACGACTAGCTTTAAGCCCTAAACATATATAACCACGATCGCTCCATCTGTCTCTCTGCAGACTGCATATACGTATAGTCTTCTTTAACAATTAATAAGGTCTGAAGCCAAATTAATATATGTGCATTAAACCCTTTACCAAATCATGTGCTTCCCAAAGTCCAGCAATAAAGTATAGGTATTCATATCCCCTTTAGCATCTAGGGGTTCTCTTTTTTCTTTTTCTTTTTCTTTTCCTTAATTTTGTTTTATGCGTGTCATTAGCAGCTAGGGTTATGTCAAGTATTATTACAGCCACGATTTATTATCTTAATTTCTGCTTAAATTTGACTAATTTTTCTGTTTGTTATGGTTTGAAAACAAAAATTATTGTAGGCACAACAAGATCGGTCTGATAATGCCATGCTTAGAGCCGAAAATGAGAACCTAAAGAATGAGAATTACCGGCTACAAGCAGCGCTGAGCAATATTATGTGCCCCAATTGTAAAGGTCCTGCTATGATTGCAGACATTGGCTTAGATGAACAACATCTTCGCCTTGAGAATGCTCGACTCAGAGAAGAGGTATTGATACTTCTCTTAATTATTTTATGGTAATTTCATTATCAAAAGTTCATTCTTTTTTTTTTTTGTTCATGGAAAAAAAATAGCAGTGCAACTGTTTAATGTATAATTATGATAATCAGCTGAATGGACTGCAGAACAAATTAATTAAGTTGAATTGTAATTTTGGATGATCAAAAGCAGTAAAAAATTTAATTGGATTGGCTACAGCATATTGAAGAGATATATCTATTAATCATGCATTTTCATTTGTGAGTAATTGTTTAGGGTTGATAAGTTATGACAAAATTTGTGCTCACAGTTGGAACGAGTTTTCTGCCTGAATTCTCAATACACTAGTGGGCAGCAAATCCAAACAATGGCACCTGGAGCTCCACTAATGCCGGCGTTCAACTTGGATTTGGATATGAATATCTATCCAAGGCATTTCCAAGAGTACCCGATGACTTCTTCCGCGGAAATGATTCCCATGCCTCTGTTGCCACCACATGTACCTTCTCACTACCCTGCTTCTGCTGGGAGTTGGGGTGGTGTCTTATCAGATGACGAAAAATCACTTGCAGTAGAGCTTGCGGTATCCTCAGTTGCCGAGCTTATTAAGATGTGCCGGGCTGGTGAGCCTCTTTGGAGCCGGAACAATGAGAACGGGAAGGAAGTGTTAAATGTTGAAGAACATGCCCGCATATTCCCGCCATGGCCTTTGAACCTCAAGCAGCAGCCAAGTGATCAGTGCAGGACGGAAGCTACTCGCGATAGTGTTGTGGTTATCATGAATAGCATTAATCTTGTAGATGCCTTCCTTGATGCTGTAAGTGCCCTTGTTTTTATTAGAGAATTCATGCAATGCCTTGATTAATTAGTGAGTAATGTTCTTGGACCAGACAAAACCCTAGAATAAACTTAACCAGTTGTCTAAATTCATGACATTCTTGTATATTTAATTAACAACTTACTACTTTCACATATAGTTGCCAAACTACACAAATTATTCTTTTTCACTGTGTGATTACTTAAGATTTAAAACAATTATTTCTGGGTGATTAAATATACTATATATCTAGTACTTAATCTGATAAATTCCGTTTTCTCTTATTTCAATTATCCTTTTGCAGAATAAGTGGATGGAATTATTTCCTTCTATAGTTTCAAGAGCTAAAACTGTTCAAGTTATTTCAGCAGATCCTTCAGGTCAAGCAAACGGTTCCCTTCAGCTGGTAGGTATCTCAAAGCTTGAAATTCTCAAATCATAAGTCCGTATGTTCATCAAGACACATTAATTGGTTGTACTTAATTGGATTTGCAGATGTATGCGGAATTGCAAGTTGTTTCTCCTCTGGTGCCAACCCGAGAAACTCATTTTCTACGTTATTGTCAACAAAATGAAGAGGAGGGAAGCTGGGCAATTGTTGATTTTCCCATAGATAGCTTCCATGACAACCTTCAATCATCTTTTCCCAGGTACAAGAGATGGCCATCCGGCTGTCTTATCCAAGATATGCCCAACGGATACTCAAGGGTGTGTTCCCGCTTCTTTCACTCAACCTCTACGCGCATGCTTTTAGTTTTCCAGTTCCCTAGTTATACCCATCAAAATATTGTACTCCTTTTGCAATCATTTCCTATAACATGTTAATTCAACCGATTCAAGTTCGCTTCCAACGTACATTTATATGGCCTTAATTACTAGCGAAAGTAAAAATGTACGTGGGAAGTACTAGATGTATCAGACTTACTATTTTCTGGCTTCTGCACAGGTTACATGGATAGAACATGCAGAGATAGAGGAGAAGCCTGTACACCAAATATTCAGTCACTATGTCTACAGTGGGATGGCATTTGGGGCGCAACGATGGCTTGCAGTCTTACAAAGGCAATGCGAAAGGGTTGCAAGTCTCATGGCCAGAAATATATCAGACCTCGGAGGTTAAATTACTGATCTTTCTTCTTATCATATAATCAAGTGATAATTATTTTTCAGAGATAAACAGTTACCCGTTACAAACTAGTTGCCAGCATTTATAATCAAGGAAAAGTATAATATATTAATTGGCTTCTGTACATGTAGTGATACCTTCACCCGAAGCACGCAAGAACATGATGAACTTGGCTCAGAGAATGATAAGAACATTTTGTGTAAGCATGAGCACCTCCAATGGGCAGTCGTGGACGGCTATATCTGATTCCCCAGATGACACCGTTAGAATAACCACAAGGAAAGTCACAGAACCTGGTCAACCCATTGGGGTCATTCTCACTGCTGTTTCCACCACTTGGCTCCCTTATTCGCACTACCGTGTCTTTGAACTCCTACGGGATGAACGCCGCAGAGTTCAGGTACTTACGTTGTTTCGCTAGCTAAAACAAGAAGTAAAAACCAGCTATGGTTATTCTCTTGACACAAAATGTTTTGCTGATCTCTTTTAGCCTCCTGCATTATGCCAGCAGCTTGATGTTCTTACCAATGGGAATTCCCTACATGAAGTGGCTCACATTGCCAATGGCTCTCATCCTGGAAACTGCATTTCTCTTCTTCGTATAAATGTAAGCTTACGCACTCCCTTTGAATTTACTTCTACTAATGTAGCGTATTGCTACTTTACATCTTCCTTACAAATTATTCCTGTAGTTCAAATCTCCTTTTCATTTTCAATTCGTACTAATACATAACTGACCATCATATATGACTTCATACGTTCATATATACAGGTATCGAGCAACTCATCGCAGAACATAGAGATAATGCTACAAGAGAGCTGCACTGATGAGTCAGGCAGCCTGGTGGTGTATGCAACCATGGATGTTGATGGCATCCAGTTGGCAATGAGCGGAGAAGACCCATCCTGCATTCCCCTCCTTCCTCTAGGCTTTGTCATTGTCCCAGTGCAGCCTATCGAATCTAGTGCTGCCACTGCAGTTGATCATGGAACCTCATCGCCAGATCAGAATCAGGAAAACCGCATCATGAACTCGGGTTGTTTGCTGACTGTGGGGTTCCAAGTTCTTGCCAGCACAAGCCCATCTGCGAAACTCAACCTCGCCAGTGTCACCGCGATGAACAACCATCTCTGCAACTCGGTGCAGCAGATCATTTCCGCCCTCGGTAGCAGCAACATTTGCACCACCGTTACTACTGATAATGTCAGTGTTGGCGTTACTTCTGGCGGATCTGACCATCCCACTACCCCGCAGTAACAGCCATTTACATATAGCTGCACCTAAATCTCTCTTCCTTCTTCCCCAACCAGAGACAAATCATCTAGCAGTTTGGTCGTGTTTTGTAATCATGCATGCATACTAAATTTAGGGTTTGCAATCGGAATTTGTTATTCACACTAAAAAAAAGTCATCCCGCATTCCTTTTATACCTTAATTAGTGATTCACTGAATTTGAATTACAAGAAGGAATGCAGCATGACTTTTTTAGAGCATGAATAACAACTTCCTCCTAGTTTATATTTGTTAGTCCAAGGGCATTAGAGGTGTGTGGTAGTGGTCTTTTGGTAAATAAGAGGGAGATGCATGGTGTAAGAAGTAGTGGAGTGGTGGGTGGTAGTTGTTAGGTTGTGGATGTGGTGATTGAGAGCGGGGAGTCAAGAGCGCACCATGTACAAGTACCCTTGGTTTCTGGTGAGGTTCAAAAAGTAGGCAAATTAAAGAGAATGGGGCCTCACCAGTCAGCAAGGGTGGTGGTTCGGGTATTGACTTCTCCCTGTGTGTCGCCTTTTCAGTCTTCTTTATTTTGCGTCTTCTATTTCTGGACTGACTTGTCTGTTGGCTTTTGTGTTTATGATAAGAATTTAATGCTTCTGAATTTTTTAAATTTGTAATTTTTCACCATTTTCTTTATTTCTTAGAATTTATATCTTTATAAACACATACAGCTCATTTAGATTGAATACCAACCAAGATTTAGCCCAAAAGCAGTGATTGAGCCCAGCTGTGCACACGGACGCGCTAGAAAAAGGCCCACTCTCAGCCCACCAACTTGCGCAACACGCCTCACGCATTTTGCAGTCTAAAATAATTTAAAAATATATATATTTAACTCAAAATTCACCTAAAAACTCCATAAAGACCTATGTATTTGTTCAAACATTCACACAAAACTCACTTTTCTCCTACAATTCTTCCAATTTTTCTTTCTACCATTTCTTCCCATTTCCAAATTTTTCAAGATGGCAAAAGACCATATAAGATGTGACAGCCCGTCCTGAATCATTTGAACCGTAGGTGTGAAATGATGATTTTACCCCTGGACGTTAATTAGTGTTGTAGGGTGTTTGGTTTGTTTTGTTTTTGGTTGTTGGGCTACCATTTGGACCACACACTCACACACACCCATCTCATTCTTTCCCGTGACTCTTTCTCTCTCTCTCCTTCTCTCGGATTTCATCCGTTGTTCGTACAAGTGGTACGGTCACTCTTCAAACTACCTTCATCTTTCACGGATTGACATTGAGGAGATTACTTTTGTGTTCTTTGTGAGCTCAGGAGCTCATCCATACCCTTAAATCGACGTGAAACCTTCGAAAACCCGAGAACCATGGAACCCCAATTTGGTGCATTGTTCATGCACACATGATCGTGAGGTTTTTAGAAGTTTTTAAGGTTCTAGGAAGATTTAGGACGTCTTTACGAAGCTTAGGGAGTAATTTTGAAGTGTTTTAGACGTCGGGAAGCTCGAGTTTATCGAGTTGCAGGTTTGGCCGGATTATCGAGGTTTCTCCGGCGAGATTCCATTGGATTTAAGTTCCAAAAGTGATAAGGTTTTGTTCTACTCGTTGTAAGCTTCATTTTGATACAAATTTCATGGAATTTGGTTGAGCAATGAAGAAGATATTAAGGTTTGAAGTTTTTTCCAGAAACAGGCGAAAATTCAAGTTGCAGACGGCAGTGACCGGCGAGGCTCACCGGAGAAGGAGGCGAATATTCTGTCAGAGTTAATGGAATATTCTAACGACGTCAGGTAACAGCCGTTAACTTCTGTTAGAGTTTTAACAGAATATTCCCTAACGGCGTTAGGGTTCCACACGCGTGCCAGGCAAGTGCCCGTAAGTGGCCAGCGCGTGGAAGCGCGTGAGAGGTCGAAAAATTATTTTAAAAATATGGGGATGTTCGTGAGGTTGAGTAGAGCACGTTGGTATATTCAAACACCCCATTTGAGCAATGTATGAGAAGTTATTACCTAAGGTTGGTTATGTGCGTTAATTTGATGTTTTTATAGTTGTTTTGCATATAGGTGAAGACTATCCGGAGGACGAGCGCAGCCACGTGAGGCTCGAGGCTTACGACCCTTCTACGTATCAGTGAGTGGGCTTTTGTTTTCAGTGTATATATATATATATATATATATATATTGATTGGTATTCTTTCCAGAAATTACGTTTTAATGGTTTTATAATTGAAATGCCATGTCGAATATCGTCGATATTATTATTGTGATTGTGTTGGTTATGCTTTGGTGTTGTGGACGCTCAGGTAAGTCGGGTGAGTATGTTGTTAGTGATAGATGTGGTGTTGATGAGATTGAGTTATAGCTTATATTCCTACACATCGGTGATTATGCTCCACCAAAGTAGGGCCTAGCCTTCACGTGATCGTTCACCTCCCGCACAGTACGCTCACCTTGGATCCAAGACAGGTGCCAGCCTGTCGTATAGACCACTTTAGGTGGTTTCGACTCGTAGGTGACTTGCGATACATCACACAGCCTTCACGTGATCGTAGCACTAAGCATATTTATATACACCAGCATGTCATACAGACTACTATAGGTGGTTCTAACTCGTGTGCAGGATAATGGTTGAAGAACTATAGTTTCAGCCGTACAGGTCACCAGCCTGTCAAACTTTCTGCAAATTAACCTTCTAACTAGTTATGTTTTTATCCTTTACAATCCTTCTTCGACCAAATTATGACTCCATGCTTAATCCACTAGAATCTTTCTTCGACTAGAATTATGACTCTCCACGATTTAACCTTATCTTATCCTTTTCATTACCAAATTATTAATGATATATGATTTCCAACAGGATCCTCTCTGGATCCTTTTGGTGAGGATCCTGGGAATCCGTGAATCATGTCCATTCATCGTACATCGTGCAGTCAGTTTTTTGTCAGGTATTATTTTGTTTAATTTTAAATAAAAATATTTAAAATGATTTTTGACCGCACGATGTACGATGAATGGATCCGATTCATGGATCCCCAGGATCCTCACAAAGAGGATCCGGATTCGTGTGATTTAACCTCAACTGGCACTCCAATATCGTTGTTGAATATATATGTGGGTTAAGATCCGGCAATACACATTTTTCTGGAGCCCACTCTGTAATGTATTTTAATGATCCAATGTTTATTTTTTATGTCTTACCTCAAAGATTATGTCTACCAAAAAGCCCACCTAAATCCTTAACCATATGACTGTTGGATAAATTTAGTGTTTGTATGTAGAACCGTAATCGATTATTTTCTTCACTAGAAATGAATGTTTTAATGGTATAGTTTTGGATTTGTCTAATCAAGGATGATCTATGAGTGATGTATAAAATATAGAAGGTTCGAATGGTTGAAATACATTACAAATAAGCTTTACAAAATAGGTTTCGAAATGTGTGTTAATTAAAGCATGTCCCCGGATGCTAACTCTCTAAATATAAGGCTTCCTTAAACTTTACGCCTGGTAATTAAACGTAGGCCCAACGGCCTTTGATCCTAAATGTACCGAAGTCACTCTGTGATGGGCCTTTTTAGGCTTAAAGTCCTTCAAATTTGCTGGGCCAATTGGCCGTTTAAAATATAAGGTACAAACAGTATCCTTGAAGCCAGCTCGTTTTGATCATAGCGTAGTTTTGGAGAACTAGGACTTTAAGAATTAACGCATTTGGTTTGTTAAGATGATCTGAATAAAAGAAGACCAACATCATGAGTTGATCACTAGTCTAAGTAGTTTTGTGCTGCAAAAGTTGCCTAAAGTGCTTTTAAAATGACTAGAAGTTCTTTTGTTGAAAATATTTCGTGCTGCAAAGGTTACCTGAAGCGATTTTTCATTAAGCTATATGGGTGACGCCTAGACCAACACAAGGACGACCAAACACAATCAAAGAAAATTGATGATAACGTCCGTCAATTAGGAACAAAAAAATGTAATGTTTTGACCAACTAACTGTCTAAGCGTCAAAATTTCACAAAATACAAATAAAAATAAATCGTTAAATACAGATACTCAAAATCGAAAAGAGTATGGCCTACTAGCCATAAAACAAGACGAAGCCTTAAAGCCGTGGTAAGGTTTCTTTTGGTATTACCCTGAATAAAAATAAATAAATAAAAAATGGTCAAATATGGCGAAACAAAAGAACAAAAGTCGTAAAAGTATGAAGATCCAATGGGCTCTCATCCCAAGCCGTAAGTTTTCCGTTTTCGTAGACTGATGGAATTCCCGGAGAGAACCCCTTTTTGACATGGTGCTGGCTGTCGCTGTGTCAATGTGAAGGAATGAGTCAACTGGTCAAAGTAGAAGACGAGTTTTGAGTTTGATCGAAAACAAAGGTTCTATGTGTCGGCTAATTTGTTGTCTTACCAAGTCTAAGATTCCCTTTATTAGGTTTCTTAAAGTCAAATTGGATAAATAGTCGTCGAGTTGATAGGGTAATTGAAAATTTAGTCTTTGTAGTTAAGAAGTTAAAATTTAAATGCTTGTAATGAAATTTGTTAGCAATTGAGTTCCAAATTAAAATATATGCAAACTCTCTGTCATGCAAAATGTTGATTTAATCATTTCAGTGTTATTAATCCATTTATCGTTCGAAGTTGTTGATTGCTGTTCAATTATATGTGTAAACCAAATTTCGTAAACTAAATAACATGAAAGTTAATGATTGAATTATTACATTAACGTGCTCATTTTGTATTGATGATACATCATTTAATTTACAAATTTAGTTTACAAACTTAGTCTAATCTCTAACATATTTCACCCAAATACCCTGTTATCAAAAGGAACATTTGTCCAATTAATTTTTTTTTTCTTAATTAATCTACACGTCTTTATGCATAAGTCGACATTTTGACTAGTCCAATATTCCATATGATAGTGAAAAGGAAATATATGTTTGCTTGACCATTCTCATTTGATTTTTGTCACGTGGATATTAATGAATAAGATGAACTAGCTTTTTGTATATGGCTTGGAAAAAAGATGGGTCAAGAATATAAAAATGGCTCTATAATTTAAAGAAGTGATAAAGTTCGGACCCCATATCCTCTTCGGATCTTAAAATCTAAGTATAAAGATCAAATGATCCGGACCGTTAAAATTTGATTAAACGGTTACAAATATTTTTAAGATCCGGAAAGGATTTGGATTCATAAAGTTCTTATAAAGTGTTGGACTTCAAAAGTGGTAAGAAATAAACAGTAATTCCTCGTTGTTTTTTCTCTATATACAATTCATTGAAAACACTAAAACTTGCCTTACAGATTTATTTTTTATTTTTTATGTTCATACGCGCTTGGTTTAATTTTGATAAATTTAGGCTGAATAAAGTAAAGAAGAGTTAATGAACAAAAATAATGTCACATCCCAACCCTCAGCTCCAGTGATATTGTCCGCTTTGGCATTCTCTGCCCGCAGACAGAGCTACCGCACGGTTTTGTTCCTGCGGACCGGTACTCAGCCGTAGCCAGCGCCTGCCCTCCCCTCAGGGAGTCCGCAAAAGGCCTCACTGAAACTTAAGGTTGGCAATGGATATATAAGGCCCAAAGACCACGCCCTCACGGGCGATGTGGGATACTACAATCCACCCCCCTTA